TTTCCAACGCTTTGCTACGACGTGACGGTGGTGGCACCTGCCCGTCACTCTGCGTTCTACACCTTATCACCTCTGAGACTGGCGCGCATCTTTCTCCGCGGGCTGCACGCCTTCGTTTCGAAGATAACTTCCAGATGGCACTTGTGTCTAACGTGCCTATAGATGCGCTTGTTCGCCTCCGCCACACGCTCGAGGCACTTTAACGCAGCGCCTGCAGAATACTATTCACCGATTTTCTTGCGCAGAACATCAAATAAACGTTTTGTCCAGTCTCTCCAGACGCAAGACTATCGTCTTTCGATGACATTTGCAGTGTAACATGTAGATTCGGGCCATTTTTTTTGTTTTCGCAGCTTTATGGCGTGTAGTAAGTCAATGCTGCGGTTACTAGGACTCAAACCACACGTAAAAAACGCACCTAGTTGCTTTCATGAAAACTAGGCAGTTCGCGATAAAAATTCGATGGCGTAGTAATTATTTGATCTGACATCTGCTGCGTTGCGATCGTTTCAACCCCACTATTGTACTTCCGATGCTGTACTACTAATTCCCAGGACTCCTGCACATGTGTACGTGGAACCATCTCACGATGGCAGCAACGGTGTCCTGCCATGACTTTATGGGGAAATAGGCAAAAAAGCAATAAAAAACTTGTCTCATCAAAAAATCTATTTATCAAGAATGACTCCGGATTCTGTGCAGCGGAGAACTACTGGAATATCTTGGTAAAATTGCTTTACGAAGTGTGTGGCTTCCCAGGACAATTGAACAACACCTATCAGAAACACACAGGACCCCGCTGTTAATTATTGAACAGTGTGCGAAGCCACGCGGTTTACAATGCAACACTGTAAATTTAACAAAATGTTTAAATAAGTCTCTACTGTATGGAACCGGAAGTGGCTTGTGATTACTAGCTCTTTCCACAGATATGGTCTTCAATTCCGCCTATTCCCCATTCATCTACGGAAGGCCACTGCTGTCACACACGAGAGGCGGCGCTACGTGTTCGTGTCTCCTAGAGTAACTGACCCTATAATGTTACTCTAGTGTCTCCTATATGTCCCCAAGTCGTGGTCATGTTATGAAACTACGAGCTCACAATTCTCCTCCTTCTAAACAAGTCTCGGTAGGAAGTTCGTCTTTCACCTCCCGACACTGTTGTGCATAGGTCGTGGTATTTAGTACCGGGTGACGTGGCCGCATTTTTAATGAAGGCGAAAATGCTTGAGGCCCTTATACTTAGACTTGGGTGCACGTAGAAAACTCCAGGCCGTGAAAATTTCCTGAGCCCTCCACTGCGGCATCCCTGTTGGGACAATAAGGCTAGAGTTATTATTATTACAATGTCGTCAGCGAGACAAATCGAACAACAGAAGTAGGTTATATCACAGTTAGGAGGTAGCACTTTCTACAGAGGTGACGCAAATGAAAATTTCATTAACAATGACGCTCGCTCAATGAGCTACGCTTAAACTTTGCACGTAAACTTTCGTTTTTTTTTGTCTGGCAGTCTCAGCCTGAAGAAATCTCTCCGACGCGGACAAAATAAGAAAGTTGAAAAAGAATAGTCTTAACATTTTCAAAGAACAGCGCAAAGCCTTTTTTTGCAACTCGCCGCTATGGCCTAGTTGTTATGGTGATAAAAGGGTGACCCTCAGGTCACCGGGGAGAATCGTTGCCGCGAATATGTTCGGGGCCTGTGTACACTATAGGCCCATAGTCACAAACCAACCTCGGCCTTACCTCACGTTTTACTCAACTTCCTGTACTCGCTACATGTGTCATAAAGGCACAAAAATGGTAACAGGGCAGAAAATAAGGACAAGACTAGTTTAATACCGGTCGAATTTGTTATCATGTGAAATAAAGGTTTAAAACTGATATGGAAAACTCGAGGAAAGGTGGAGGTTGGTTTGTGAGAACGGGCCTTAGATTTATGACATGGTGTAAGATACAAACACTTTGTATCTTACACCGTGATATAGGGGCACTTCGAACAACCCCAGGACGGCAAAATTTCCGGAGCCCTTCACTACAGAGTCTTTCATAATAATACCCAGTATCTTAATCTAAATATACGGGTCTGTGACGTTCCTCTCTCCATTACGGTATCCCTTCTTTGTAGTATGGTTTTCGCCCCCTTTATGGTAAATAAAGACGATCATTAAGCCAGATTTACTTACTCCAACAATAAGACGCGTAGCTTGATTCTTTGCGTGTTTGAGTTTCTGCAGTCACTGAATTTTCGTTTGCATTTAGACGACAAAATTAAACGAATGATTCAACGGTGAACTCCCGGTTAAAGAGATTTACGTTATGTTGACGTATGCGTAAATAGCACCGAGGGCTGTTTAGGACTCGTAGTTGTGAAGGCAGCTGAAGTGAACTTCACAAATTACTGGAATACACATTCGGAATACTTGTTTGTGAGTTTCACAAGCCACATGATCGTCTGTTTTTTGCGTTTCATGTTCTTTTCCATGAGTCCCGCTTTCGCCTGCCTACGTCCTTTTAGCGGCAGTTGCTTTTAGGTAGAGCAGAACATGTATTGTGTTGGCCAGAGATGAGTTGAGCGTGAAAGGTTGTAAAGTAAAAGTTCGCCGTCTCTTAAGTTTGATTTTTGCGATCGTAACTGCATCTACGCGAAAATTTGACCAATGGTCACCTTTAAACGAACAGAGCAAAGATACGGACGTCTTGGCTAATGCGTGGTATATCTGCAATAGGTCAAGTGCATGTGCGAACCAGGCTTAAATTACATAGCACAACGGATAAATGTCGTGCTGCGAATTTCTCTTGAATGCAGATTCGCATGTCTTCCGGGTTGGCAGGTTGCATTGCTACTAGTTAGCATTCGCATCACTCAGCATTACTTTGGCGCCAATATTCTTTGTTGTTCTCTTCACATTTAAGACACTTCATCATTACCGGTGGTATTTTTGTTGCCTTGTTCTCTTAGATTGTGTCTCAGAGTGTACACTTTATACTGTCCGATAGCTGTCGTTGCTTGGACTACTTCCTGCGTTTAATAGTGCGCGTTGTAAGGTCTAAGCAACTTGGATGAAACTTTTAGTGGTTACTGTCCCTAAAAGTGTGATTAGAGCTCAAAGAGACGTATGCGTCCCCCCCCCCCCCCCCCCCAAAAAAAAGTGAGCGTCATCACGTTGAGAGTACCGCCCGTCTAATATAGGGGGATATTATTTTTTGTAAGTAACAGAGAAGACTAGTAGGATGATTTTTTTTTGCCACCTTGTTTTTTTCGCCGTCGTCTCTCTTGAAGTACTTGTGTTTGGTCGCTCCTTCACCGCGATTTAGATGTTGAGAAAGTGCAAAGTAGGATTGTTCTATTCCTGCAATGTGGACTCAGATGAATTGAGGACAGTTTTGACGCGAAAGTGAGCCACCGTATTGAGCTGTCTGCAAATATGCCGAAGGTAGTGGTCGAACATTACACCTTGCAAGCACCATCCTCACTTGCTTTTAAGTGCAAATATTTTCGAGGATGCTTCGTTTCGATTTAGCTACTCCGACTCGCTTTTCTATCCTTCACAGAGCTAAACGACATGAAGCATCCTGGCAGAGCTTGTTGCACAAGTCGTTGAAGAACGTGTAGCACGAGTGCAAGGCGTTACCGTGTACGTATACAACTACTACCCGCAAAAGGTGTGGATTTTACTCGGTTATCTCGCAGAAAAAAACGCCGAACGCTCGTTTGCAGAGCCACGCAAGTGGCATACTTCTTTGTATGCTTTGACTCTTTTGATGGGCGGCTATAATAATTCCTGACTGACACGATCAAGCCATATGCAGCCAGTGGGGCATGCGTCCCACTATTCCTCATGGCCTCCAGTAGTCCACTGCTCGTCTTTCAAATATTGTGGAAGAAACAGCATTCTTATGCTGTTTTCATACGCGGTTGAATTCATTTGAGAAACAGTAAAACAGGAACCATCGGCAGATTTTCCACGCTTGACAAAAATGTATGCGCAGGTTGCCGCCTTTTGTTTATTACGTTGCCACTACGTAAACGCTTGTGTATATGCTTGTCACTATACATTATGTGTCAACATGATATATTGCTGCTTTGTGACTTGTTCACTGGTTCTTACGTGTTAAAAAAACGAAGAGATCTTGGGAAACACCAAAAGGAACAGGGTTTGAGACGAATTTGAATTATGACGTTCTGCGTGGTACAGATGTGTTCTGACACATAGCCCCACCAGTGCCTAAAACGTTTTCAAAAGAAGGCTCTTTACAATTGTCATGTATGACAAGGAAACACGTTAGCAACTGTAATGTTGAGTGGTAGAAAAGACGAGTCACCGGCGATTCTGAACTGCCTCCGGGATCATAGGCTTCCTGCACCTCACACTCAACGTGATAATGCAGGGACTCTGAGATCGGCAGTTTACTGTTGACCCCGCCATGATTTAACACCATCACATGATGTGGTAGCAAGTTATTACGATGTCATAGTGGCGTGACTAATTTTGGCGACTTGTGAAATCGCGATAAGGTCTTAGGACTATGTGATTGCATGATCATTTTCACGCTTACTTTGCTCATTTGTTGAGACATCTAAGGTTGTCACCTGCATATGAAGATAACCACCTCTCTCGTCCTCGTTTACCATCGGCAGTAATTTTCTGTGCGTCTCCCTTTAATTTGCGTTGACCTAATTTTAAATGTAAATTTACTGCTAAAACATTAAATGCGCTGAAGCACAGTCAAATGCATAGCGTTATGATCTTGCCATTTCTAACACTCCCATTTTTTGTGTTTGATTTCTGGCATTGATTGTTTTCCTTGCTTTAATGCATTCTTTCAGCGCTTATTTCATACCTGAGATGTTTTCTTTATTTTTGTGAACCAAGAGTGCTTCCTTACCAAGTCTTAGGACTACTGATGGCAATATTTCTGGTACGATTTAGTTGATTTATTAATGATAGATTGTAGCATTGAGAATGAATTAATTCTAAAGGGCTCCAAAATCACAGTCACACGAACAAAATAAAGTTTATTGGAACTGTACCAAGATGAACATAGATTTAAATCCCATCGCCATAAGTGCTAAACAATTTATGACGTAAAGCGTAGAAGCCTTTCAACGCACATGAAAACAACATCTGACGGAGACTGCTATGTTTGCTCGGTTTCACTGGGAGGGCCTGCTGCTCTTGACTCTAAAAATCGCTTGTACAAATCACTTATTGCCGATGATCGATCGAAGGACACGTAATGGCCGCCGAAGAGCACCGTGCTGAAGGTTAGTGCGCCCGCCCTTTTCTCATAACCTAGGAGCTCGAGCGAAGAATTGTCGTTTCGGTACCAGAGACGACGTTTAGCCTTATTAAACTGGCTCTGACCTCGCCATTCGAGGTTTTCAAAGCATCTTTCGATGTTTACAGCCGGAAACACAGCGTCCAGCTGGGCTGTGTACAAAAGCGTGTGTCTGTTGTTGATAACGGCCAATAATGTTTCCGTGTGGTTCTCAAAAAAGTCTCCGACGGCCAGATTCATAGCTATCTTCATGCGCGTACCGTCTAGAGTTCTAGAAGGGTCCACGTGAATCCTATTCTTGAATTCTTCGCTATTAGCGCAGGACATGTACGCCGCAACTTCTGCTGGCCGTTGGGCTCTTACCACACTACCGTGGTGCTTGAAACCGGTCAATTTTTCGTATAAACTTTGATCTTTGCCGCTGCGCAAATTGAGAACCGTTTGGCTGAGTAGTCCTGCGGCCATTGGGATTTTTCCTTCATTAACGAGGATTTGAATCTCATTGAATCGCTGCGCGAACGACTGACGACCGTGGTCGTCAAGCATACCGGTGTAATAAAGGTAATCAGTTGAGTTGATTAATTCTAATAGCGGGAAAAGGAAGCCAACGCCAAGCATAACTCCTTCCAGGTGCAGTGGAAGCTCCCAAGGGTACCGTGTCATTATCTTTTCCGCTACTCCAATAGCTGATCGGGCTGTAATTAAGAAAAAAGAAAACAACACGTATATTATTGAACACGTATGCAACTGTGAAGAAAGACAAGCTTGTGGGAATTTATCGACAAAGTAATAATCGAGTGACTTTCTTCTGACACAAGTTTCATTTGTACCTTGCCGATTTTTTGTACTCAGAGACGTAACTATGGTGGCAACTATGAAACACTCAAGACCTGTATAGAGGCTAGCGTGCAATTGTTATCACATATTAGACTAGCAGCTTTGTGAAAAGAAATTATTAAATCAAATGAAGACAATTTCATTGAGAATATTTGGAGCAGTTTCGAGTATGTGAATTCACGCCTTATAGTGAGCAATACGCGCAAGACAGAGAGTGTACTTTAATATAAGTGAACTGAAATATCTGTTGCACGTCTGATGGCCTGTTCTGCACGGGATCAATTTGTGTCCGGCTTTTTTTCACAACTGCATCGTTCCCGTGAGCGGAGATGTAGGCCATGCCTGGAAGCAAGTTTTACTAGTTTTTTCTTCTTTTGCCTGATCTCGTTATGAATATAAATCTTGCATATTCTTACACGTACGTCTAATACCAAACTTAATACTTCGCACCACCCAGTTTCAGTCCAGTCCGCAAGGTGCTACTTTAAAATGCGGCTTTGTAGCTGAACCTTGGCACATTTGATAATTATGACACTTGTGTGGGGATCACATAAACTCGCGAACAGCATATACACGTGTAGTCAGTCACACACCTGGAGAAAAAATATTCAAAAACTTTCCTTGAGGCTTGTCGAATTCCAAAAACCCAGCAACGTTTCTGCGACGCGTGGCACACCGGTGGTGTTTTGTTAATGGCGCAGAACGCACCGTAATTATAACACCTAATTTGTAGCTTAATCTTATTCTGTCTGTAAAACTACCGTCATTGAATAGTACTGCAGCAGCATTAAGATTATACATCATGAACACTTGTCAATTGTGGTAAGATTTCAAGGAAGTTCTAATAAGATATCGACTATATTGAGCGCATATGTATTCATTATTATTAAAACTGCCGTGCCCACGCTGATATGTAATTCGTTTTTGTAATAATACTATGAAGTCTTGGTAGTCTGGGTTGCGACAGCGTTTAATTGAGGAAAGACCTCGCAAAACGAACGGGCAGAGCCAGTCCACAGACGATGACGATGATGATGATCCAGAGTGGCAATGAGGACAAAGAGACAAGCGGATGATGGTGATTGTGATCATGCAGGGATGAGGACGATGCAAGTAACAAATGCCCACACTAATTCCCCCCACTTGGAAGCGGACACCCTGGCCGCCGTAAGTCAAAGTGACGGGGAACGTCGCGTGAAAGGTTTCATGCGACAAACGTGGACAATCTCTGTGCTGTGGTAGCGGCGGTCTGTTGGGGCGACGAGTGGTGTCACACGATAATTAACCGGCGAAGTCTGTTCTAAAACAATGTATGGCCCGATGAAGCGTGGTTGGAATTTGTCACAGAGACCAGGAGTGCGAATAGGTGTCAAAAGCAACACCTCGTCACCAGGTTGGAAAGACACAACGCTGTGGGATTCGTCATAGGTGATCTTCCGCTCGTGCTGTCTCGCTTCAGTATTGATGCGAGCCTGATGGCGAGACTGAGCCAGGCGGGAAATGTATTCTTCGCTAGAAGACTGACATGAATTCCCTTGGCTGCTAAAGAAGGAGACGTCGAGAAAGGTAGTCGGGGTGCGTCCGTACACGAGATAAAACGGTGAGTAGCAAGTTGTTCGCTGAACGGCGGTGTTGTAAGCGAATGTCAGGAATGGTAAAAGAGTATCCCAGTTTCTATGGTCAGGTTGGACGTAAACGGCTATCATGTCTGCAAGGGTTCGGTGAAATCTTTCTGTGAGACCATTTGTCTGAGGGTGGTAGCTTGAAGCTGTCTTGTGAGTAGTTCCAGAAGCGCGGAGTACTTCATTTACCATTTGTGACAGGAACACTTTGCCGCGATCACTAAGGAGTTCACGAGGAGCCCCATGACGCAGGATTATGGCGTGAAGAATAAATTCTGCAACTTCCACAGCTGAGCCTGTAATAACAGAGGAAGTCTCAGCGTATCGTGTCAGGTGGTCCACGGCGGTCACTATCTATCGTTTGCCAGCAGATGTGGCGGGGAGAGGCCCGTAAAGGTCAACACCTACAACCTCGAAAGGCATTGACGGGCACGGAAGTGGCTGTAGAGGTCCAGCAGGTGCACACGTGGGGAGTTTACGACGCTGGCATGGGTAGCAGGAACCGACGTACCGCGCTACATTAGAAGAAAGGCCAGGCCAGTAATAACGACATCGAATGCGGTCAAGAGTTTTTTTAAAACCATGATGACCAGCAGTCAAGTCGTCGTGGAAGGCTTCGAGCACCTGAAGTCGAAAAGAGCGTGGCAGTACAGGAACCCAGCGCTGACCGTCAGGGTGATAGACGTGGCGGTAGAGAACCCCATTGTCCAGCTTAAAGTGCAGGAGTTGACGACGGAGTCGCGCGTTTGGTGGATGAGAAACTCCCGAAAGGTGGTCCATCATGCGTCTGCAGTATGAATCGGACTGCTGGTGGGAGATGAATGTTCCCTGGTCGTCCGAAAAGGGTTGCGTTATTGATGCGAGCGTATGAACTTTGGTAGATGTGGCGGTTGAGTTCTCACCAACGCTAATATGGGTAGTTGGAAGCGGGCAACGAGATAAAGCATCGGCGTCTCGATGTTTTCTGCCTGACTTGTAAGTTATGTCGAAGTCGTACTCCTGCAAGCGTAGTATCCACCGACCCAAGCGTCCGGACAAGTTTTTCAGTGTAGAAAGCCAGCATAAGGCATGGTGGTCCGTAACGATTGTGAAGTGACGGCCGTGGAGATAGGGACGGAACTTCTGGACCGACCAAACCACAGCCAGACACTCTTGCTCAGTTATAGTGTAGTTCTTTTCAGCAGGGGTGAGTACGCGACTGGCATATGCAACAACTTTCTCTAGGGAAGACTTGTCGCGTTGTAGAAAAACGGCTCCTATACCAAGGCCGCTAGCGTCGGTATGAAGGATAGTCGGTGCGGCTTCGTCAAAGTGTCAGAGCAGAGGTTCAGACGTGAGTGACCGCTTCAACAGCTCGAATGCCGTTTGACATTCTTGAGACCACAGAAAGGGGACGTTCGAAGCGAGTAGTTGGTGTAATGGAGCAGCAATAGAAGCGAAGTTCTGGATAAACCGGCGAAAATAGGAGGCGAGGCCAAGGAAACTGCGAAGCTCCTTTGGTTTTTCGGGACGCGGAAAGTGAAGGACTGCAGAAATCTTGTCAGGGTCGGGCCGGATACCATCTTTGCTAACGACATGTCCTAAGATCTTGATAGATTTGCTAGCGAAAGAGCATTTCTTAGTGTTTATTTGAAGCCCGGCGCCGGCAAGGCACGTCAGAACTTGATCCAGTCGTTCTAGGTGCTCAGGAAACGTTGACGAAAAGATAATAATGTCGTCCAGGTAGCAAAGGCAACTTTTCCATTTCAGACCGCGCAGCACGGTATCTATCATGCGCTCAAAAGTCGCGGGTGCGTTGCAGAGCCCGAAAGGCATCACGTTGAATTCATATAGCCCGTCGGGGGTTGCAAACGCCATTTTATGCTTATCGTCTTCATGCATGGGAATCTTCCAGTACACAGAACGCAAGTCGATGCTTGAAAAGAATTCCGCGCCTTGTAGGGAACCAAGGGCGTCGTCGATGCGTGGCATAGGGTACACGTCCTTGAGTGTGATCTTATTGAGTGCCCGGTAGTGCACGCAAAAACGCACAGAGCCATCCTTTTTGCGGACCAAAACAATAGGAGACGACCAAGGGCTAGATGAAGGACGGATGACTTCCCGTTTAAGCATGTCCGCAACGTTTTCTTTTATAATTTTTCTTTCAGTTAGAGACATGCGGTAGGGTCGGCGGTGTACGATAGATGTCCCAACATTTTGAATTCGATGTGCTGTAGTATTAGTGCGGCCCAGCTTAGACGAGCGAATGTCGAAAGAATTTGCATGTTTCTGTAACAATGCGAGCAGCTGCTGCCTCGGTGAATATGTCAATTCGCTGCTGATAGCGGTGGTAAAGGCGGAGGAAAAAACATGCTCACCAAGGCAAGGTTCTTTGGATGCGATGGCCTGAAGTGGCATGACAAATACAGGCTCGAAGTCAGCAACATGGGCCACAGTAGTGCCCTGTGGCAGTAAGATCTTCTCCGGTGTAGAGTTGACAGCGGTGACAAGTGCCGAGCCATTGCAAAAACGAACGACACCGGACGGAAGAACTATACCTTTGCGAACGCAAAGTGGTGACGGTGAGACCAATACATCCCCGTGATAGATGTCGTTGGACGTAATGCTGACAACTCGCTCTTGTAGTGGCGGCAGTTCGATGTCTTTCGCAGCGACCAGACGAAGTGGCTTCTGATTGTCGTCGTCAAGCATGTAGTCTGTGTCAGCGAGGTGAACGACGCGTTGTCCACAACAAATCGCCGCGGATGATAGAAAATCCCACCCTAAAGTTAGTTGGTGAGAGCAGCGGGACAGGACAGCAAACTGGACATGATGGCGGATGCCGTCGATGAAAACACGCACAGTACAAAACGCGGAAGGGCGAATGACGTTCCCCTGGGCAGCAACTAACGTGGGGCCATCGTAAGGCGTCATTACTTTCCTTAAATGTTCACACAAATCAGCACGTATCACAGACAATGTCACACCTGTGTCCACCAAAGCATCGACTCGCACTCCTTCCACTTCCACAGAAATCATGTTACACGGGCCCGATGGAGGAATTTCAGTTCTGATTCCGAATGCAGTTTTTCCTCCACAAACTGCATCACTTAGTTTTCCGAATGAATTTCAGAGGTGAATGAGGCGGGCCGAAGTGGAGAAGTGGAATGGCGGAAGGGCGAAGGCGAGCGGCGTCTCGTGTTTCGGCTGTTTCGTGGTGCAGTCGATGCAGGAGAAGATGGAGAACGGTGCGGGATAGACGAATAACGCCGACCTTGATAAGACGCCCCGGCGTACAAATCCCGTTCACGCACGTCGTTCCGACGCTCATCTTGCTGGCGCTTTCGGCAGAAACGAGATATGTGGCCGCGATAGCCACAGTAGTAGCAAACAGGGCGAGACGAGCGCCACGGTGGGGAATAGAAGACATTCGGGGCACCTGTAGATAGCGCGGTCAGGTGGGCCGGAGGGTCAGCGGGTACAGAATGGTAGTTGACTGGGGGAGCGGCAGCAACTGACGCGTAGGATGGACGCGGCAATGTCACGTGGGCGTCGCTGGGAGGCACGGCAGCAACTTCAGGTTACGTGGGTATGGGGCGTGAAGCATGTGGCTGTGCGGGCGCAACGCCGGTCAGCGTTGTAAGTTCCTCCCTGATGATGTCACGTAAGGGCATTCCCGAAGGCTGTGTAGGTCGTGGTGTAGGAGGTGTGAAGCCCATGGACTGCAATTCTTCGCGTATAATGTCCCGGATGAGGTCGCGCAGGTGACCATCTGACGTGGAGTGGTGGTCGCCAATGTCTGGTTGGAGGCGAACGGAGTCTAGCACATCAAGGCGCTGGCATGTCGTCACGACATCAGCGATGGTAGCTGGGTTTTGCACAGCGAGTGCATTAAAGGCAACAGGCCCAATGCCTTTCAATATGTGGCGCACTTTGTCCGATTCCGGCATGGATTGATTGACACGCCGGCACAGTGCGAGGACATCCTCGATGTATGAAGTGTACGATTCACCGGGATGTTGTCGGCGGGTATCAAGTGTCCTCTTCGCGACGGCGGATCGAATGCCCGGGGTGCCAAAAACGTGTCGCAGCGGCTGCTGGAAGGTAGCCCAGTCGGGTAAGTCAATGACGTGGTTAAAATACCATGTCTTTGCGACTCCGGTCAGATAAAATGGGACGTAACGCAGTTTGGCGGCCTCGTCCCACCGATTAGCGACACTTACGCGGTCGTAGTCATCGAGCCAGTCTTCTACGTCTTCTCCACGACGACCAGCGAAGAGCGGGGGTTCCCGCTGATGTCCGTGTATGTAAATAGGAGGGGCAGCTTGCGTCGGTGCGTGGTTGATGACATGAGCGCCGGTAGGCTCGGTCTGGGACATGCTGCCTGACAGTGGGCGCAATCGGCGGCCTGAACGAAGCTCCAGCGGGTAGAGCGGGCTGCGGGAGGTAAGAGGACCGAAAATCCACCTCCACCACGCATGAAGTCTTGGTAGTCTGGGTTGCGACAGCGTTTAATTGAGGAAAGACCTCGCAAAACGAACGGGCAGAGCCAGTTCACAGACGATAACGATGATGATGATCCAGAATGGCAATGAGGACAAAGAGACAAGCGGATGATGGTGATTGTGATCATGCAGGGATGAGGACGATGCAAGTACAAATGCCCACAATACTTCCATTGCCTGCAGTGCACGTGGTACTTGGTGCCTTATTCTCTCAATATTATAGCAATACATTCCTATCGACGCATTGCTTTCGTTCTTAATACTGAGATTTGCTGATATTAGGGCATTGCCGCTTCAGTGCATTTAATTTTTTATTATTTTGTCATGACTTCCTCTTGTAATAATGCGGTCTAATACATTTTTGAGTCGCATTGATTTTGTGTTCTTCAAAAATATTCAGCTTCTGGGGGCTCACATTTAAATCTGCTCTGTTGTATAGATAACTGAGCAAATGAATAAACAAACAAAAACAAATAGTATTTAAGCGAATAAACAAAAATAGTAAATAAATAAATAAATAAATAAATAAATAATGTTTTCAGCACACCACACTGTTTGCTTCATAACAAAGAATTCAAGAGCGATCGTGCAAGTTTGCCATGTTTTGGCGAATTCCCGCCCCACGCCCTCATCATATAGTTTGTGGTGCGGAAGTCATTTAGTTTGTAATTGTGGAGTTGTGGCTAAACGTTCAAGCCAATGCTGGGACAAGAATTCGCTTTACCTCCGTAAGACTCCCCAGCGATGTAGAAACTTCGTTCATGGTATTCGGGGAAAAGCCTCAGAAAGCGTCTCAAGAATCTCATGACGTGTGCAGACGCCTGATCAAGTGTTCTGGGGTACACTCCACGCTTGTCGAAGCTGAACCCCGATCCCACTGGCTGATCCAAATAGATGACGTGAAACTGCTTGACCAGTGTGTGATGCCGGTAATAAAGTGCTCCGGAGGCGTTGATACCGAGCGGTCCATTCTCAAGGAACTGGCCGAAGAGCGACGATTTTCCTGGTCCACCTTGCAACCACAGCAATAAAGGTTTTGTCCGTGGTTCTTGCTGCAAACGCATGATAAAAAACACACAATCAATGAAAAGTAATATCGTAATGCTTAACATTCTGACAACATGATGATACTTATTTTACGTGGCATCTAAATACATGAGCGTGTTTGGGGACGTCAACGTGCAACTACACACATCATTTCATGCACAATATTTCTGAGCTGGAAAGTAAAAAAAAATTTGATGGACTGGCTAACCTGAGCAAGCCAGTTAAGTTCCTCGGATTCCACAGGGACAGTGCTTCGTGAGCTTTATTTCGCCCCCGGGCCATTATTTAAAACTCAAGATACGTATACAGTGGCAACCAATTATCGGCTTATGACACTCAACATACATACAAGGCAAGGACGAGTCTCCTGCTTGCATGGCTTGTGGTGGCTTCCCCGATAAATCTCGCGTTCTGCGGGATTGTTCGGCTGGTCTTGCGGCCATGGGCAAGAACGCTTCAAGCACGTACCTTCGCTTCAAGCACGTACCTATAAACCTAGAATCTGCGACCTTTGAGGAGCGGCTGGTAAACTCCTCCCCGGACATCATGAAGGCACGACTCGAAAGTTTGAAACTTGAAGGCCTGTCTGATGGTTAGGCCTTGCTTCTTCTTTATTGGTGGACGCGGAGTGGGGTTTGTTACTTGTCTCTATTTCAAAAAACTATGTTGCACCATACGCCTATAATTTGGCGTATGCAGAGAAAAACGAATTCAAGTGTGAATGGTAAGAAATCCATACCGTGGCTTTGATGAGCAAGAAGAACAAATACGAAGACCGGTCTTCATCGACAGGAATAAAACCAGAGTACGCTTTCAAGTGGGCACACGGCTCTGGCAAGCACACACGACTCGCCATTCTCATTTCAAGGAGTTCTTGTTGGGGTATCCGGTTATTGGTTGCATTAAGAAGGAGGTCCTCAAATGGTGCTCTGAAAAATAGCGGCAAAAATAATTGTTAATGAAGGTGCACGCAACAAACCACGCAGAATTTTTGATTGGCCAAGCTGCTTTATATAGATTTGAATGTCCTATTCGATTGGCTAGACGCCAGAAACGCGCGCCCGATATAAATATTCAGCTGCTCCCACTGAGAACGTATTTGGCGCATGAACGCTGTTCTAGGGCACCTCATCCTCTAGGCACACGCTGCTTTAAGCTTAGAGTTACTCCGAGGGATCTCAACAAACTACGATAAGAATCTCCTTGCTACTTGGACAGATTTAAACTATAGCACAGATTTGATTACGTTTGTTATTAGAATTTGACGTGTTTCTGTACTGGTTGTATTTCTTTGCCGATGTGGATGGAAACTTATAAACTCTGTGGTATATTTGAATTATGAGGACATCCTGCACTGCGTTGTTGCTATTCTTCTATGCGATACAATATTTCCTAGCAGTTTTTGCCTAGCATAACAGAATTTCATAATCCATGCATGATTCTCGCAAAACAACGCGCACGCTATGAGCCTTTGCAAAGATTCGATATACTATATATATAGTATATATATATATATATATATATATATATATATATATATATATATATATATATATATATATATATATATATAGACGTTGCGAGGAAGGAAGCGTACTGGCTCCGTAGTAACAACGGAAGCAAAAGGCACGGCTAACAAGGAAACACTTTTATTAATCACAGATTGTGATTAATAAAAGTGTTTCCTCGTTAGTCGTGCCTTTTGCTTCCGTTATATATATATATATATATATATATATATATATATATATTATAAAGGAGATTTATTAAGCAGAAAGGTTGGTGCTTGGAAGGCTTGGAAGGCGATGCACCAGCCGCAATTTCCGAGCTCGAGCCGCTGCTGCACACTCGATGCCGCTGCCTCTGCGCCGGAGTACTTCCTCTTCTTTACAATGGCCCCACGGAGAAAAAAAGGAGCCATCCTGGCGACTTAGTCCTGTGCAGGCGGCGTTGAACCGTGGTATTGCTTGAGCCTCTGTACGTGTACAACCTCGCGGTTGCGACGTCGCAAGTCCGATGGTGGAGTAAGAGGCTCAATGAGGTAGTTTACTGGCGAAGTTTGTTCGACAATACGATATGGCCCATCGTACTTTGGCAGAAGTTTGGAAGAGAGCCCAGTTGTGCGATGCGGCACTGACAGCCAGACAAGAGAACCCGGAAGAAAAACGGGAGTTGAGGTCTGGGCATCACGAATTGCCTTTTGCCTGTTTTGGTCATCGCAGGTAAAGCGACGAGCTAACTGGCGGCATTCTTCTGCGTGTCTGGCGGCGTCCAAGATCGGTAGGCACTCGGACGCGTCAGGTCGATAGGGCAAAATGGTGTCAATGGTGTGGGAGGGGTGACGGCCGTAGAGGAGGTAAAAAGGGGAGAAGCCTGTTGTCGCTTGCGTTGCCGTATTGTAGGCGTATGTAATGAATGGGAGAACTAAGTCCCAGTTAGAGTGGTCAGGCGTCACATACATAGATAGCATGTCACCGAGAGTACGATTAAAGCGCTCGGTAGCCCCATTGGTTTATGGGTGGTAAGCGGTACATGTGCGATGTACAATAGCACACTCAGCGAGCAATTTTCCAATGACCTCGGACAAGAAGGCGCGGCCGCGGTCACTGAGGAGTTCTTGAGGGCCTCCATGACGCAACACAAAATGACGTAGTAGGAAAGTGGCAACCTCTTGTGCTGTAGCCGTTTTAAGAGCAGCGGTCTCAGCATAGCGCGTTAGGTGGTCGATAGCAACTATTATCCACCTGTTGCCAGTTGGAGTCAATGGATGTGGCCCATAAATATCTATTCCAACCCGTTCGAAGGGTCGGGAAGGGCATGGTAAAGGCTGCAGTTCACCGGCGGAGGCGTGTGGTGGAGATTTTCGGCGCTGACATTCGGCACAAGAGCGGACGAAGTTGCGGACGAAGGTATACATGCCACGCCAGTAGTAGCGATGTCGAAGCCTTTCGTAGGTCTTGAAGACTCCTGCGTGGCCACATTGTGGGTCAGCGTGAAAAGAGGAACAAATCTGCGACCTCAGGGTTCGTGGAACGACGAGCAGCCACTTGCGTCCCTCTGGTGCGTAGTTACGTCGATAGAGAAGCGTGTCACGTATCGAGAAGTGTGGAACTTGGCGCCGAAGCGTTCGCGTCTTTGGGAGTTCAGAAGTGTCGGAGAGATGATTGAGGAGAGACGCAGTCCACGGGTCATTGCGTTGTTCGATAGCAATGGTGTCAAAGTCAAGCGATGACAATGTGGAATCGCAAGCGTAGTCAGCTGTGGCATTCTGGGACAGGGGGGAACGGGAAAGGGCGTCGGCGTCAGCATGCTTCCGTCCTGACCGATAAACCACGCGTATGTCGTAATCTTGAATTTTCAACGCCCAGCGAGCGAGGCGGCCAGATGGGTCTTTTAACGTCGAAAGCCAGCACAGCGCGTGGTGGTCGGTCACGACGTCAAAAGAACGACCATATAGATATGGGCGAAACTTTCCAAGGGCCCACACAATAGCCAAGCACTCCTTTTCTGTGACGCTGTAGTTGCTCTCAGCCTTGGTAAGTGTGCGACTAGCGTATGCCACGACGTATTCCTGATGTTCCGGTTTACGCTGTGCGAGCACAGCACCCAGGCCTACACCACTGGCGTCGGTGTGGATTTCAGTTGGCGCTTCAGGATCGAAATGGCGTAGAATTGGTGGCGTCGTAAGAAGCCGTCGCAGGGTGTTGAAAGCCTCGTCGCAGGCAGGGGACCACGATAAGAGGTCTTTACAGCTGCTGAGAAGTTGCGTGAGAGGTGATATAATAGACGCGAAGTTTCGGACGAATCGCCGGAAATACGAACACAAGCCGATGAAACTTCGAAGTTCTTTGATGGTGGCAGGTTTAGGAAACGCCGTAACAGCTCGCAATTTCTCGGGATCCGGGAGGATGCCTTCCTTGGAAACAACGTGGCCCAAAATGTTCAGTTGACGCATGGCAAATCGACATTTTTTGAGATTTAATTGCAAACCGGCGTTAGTTAAGCAAGTAAAGACGTGCTGAAGGCGACGTAAGTGTGTGTCAAAGTTAGGGGCGAAGACCACGATATCATCGAGGTAACACAAGCATATCTTCCATTTTAGTCCACGCAGGATGTTGTCCATCATTCGTTCGAACGTTGCAGGTGCATTGCAAAGTCCGAAGGGCATGACGGTGAATTCATATAAGCCGTCTGGCGTGACAAAAGCGGTTTTGGGGCGATCGGCCTCCGCCATAGGCACCTGCCAGTAGCCTGACCGCAAGTCTAACGAGGAAAAGAACTCGGCACCCTGCAAACTGTCTAAAGCATCGTCAATGCGCGGTAGTGGATACGACGTTGAGTCAGGCGCTGAGACGACAGCCAGTTCACAGACGGAGGTAGAAGGCACCTCATCGGGGACGGATATAATTCTGGAAGAACTGATTGTCTCGACGTGGCCAAGGCACTCGCGACACAGTAGAGATAAAGACGACGACTCATGATTATAAATTGGCATTGTGGTTGACCCTTGTACAAGATCGAGAGCAGCAAAAGGCAGGGGGAGAGCTCTTCGGGCGACGAATATTGGAGATGGTGTGAAGAAGACCGTGCCGTCGGATATGGCGCTGCATGAAACTGGCACGAACGCAAAAGAGCATGGAGGGATGTAGGTGTCATCGCTAACGACAAGTTTAGCGGCAAACTGGGTGTCGACGGACGCTTGGTCATCCAGTGAGCAAAATTCGACCTCAGCCCTAGCACAGTCGATTACGGCGTTATGACGCGACAAAAGTCCCATCCCAAAATAATATTATGGGAGCATGATGAAAGAACAACGAACTCTATCGTATACAGAACGTCCTGAATTGTCACGCGGGCTGTACATACTGCGGTCGGTTGAACAGGTTGAGCACTGGCTGTGCGAAGCGATAATCCGGAGAAAGGCGTCGTAACCTTACGAATTGAGCGGCAAAATCCAGCATCTATTACCGAAACAGCTGCACCGGTATCTACAAGAGCGATGGTAGGGATATTTTCGACGAACACATCAATAACATTGGTAGGTGACAAACGAGGACTTGGGCAAACCGAAACTTGCGCAGTTCTTGCCTCAGGAACTGCGTCGTCTAGTTTTCCTCCTCGTTAGGTGCGGGCCGTCGACGCATAGGAGAAGGCGAGCGGCGGCGTGGAGAGGGCGAGCGAAGACGTCCCGGCCGAGGGCGGTGGTCGTCCTGGTAGCGGGCTGGCATTGGAGTGGAGGAACCGTATCGCGCGTTGGAGTCAAGCGGGAAGAAAGGCTCACGGCGGTTTTCATTGGTGATATGCGTCCGGCGGCGGCAATACCTTGCGACGTGTCCGGGGTATCGACAAGTGTAACATATCGGGCGATTATCGAGGGTGCGCCACGGGTTGGCGGTGTTAGTGCTGGTCCAGTGAACTGGAGCTGGGGGATAGCTCGCGCGAGGCTGGAACGGAGACGCAGGTGCCTTGCGAGTTGGCATGGCTGCAGCCGCGGCGTAGGTGAGAGGAGCAGCCACAAGATTAGGCTCGCGAGCAGCTGGTAAGGCCTCGGCGACCTCTCCTTGAATGACGTCACGTAGAGACGATGGTAAAGTTGTGGTAGCTTCTGGTGTGAAAGGCACCAAGGAAAGCTGTCGTGCAACTTCTTCGCGGACAAATGCTTTTATTTCGGCCATTAGTGACGCGTGGTCATGACCACTGATCGCACTAGACAGCGATGCCAAATCGTGCGCTGGAGGACGTCTTGTCAGCGCTCGCTGCTTCCGCAATTCATCGTAGCTTTGGCAGAGGCTAATTACGTCGTTAACAGTGGTCGGGCTTTTCGCCAAGAGCATTTGAAAAGCGTCGTCGTCAATCCCTTTGAGGATGTGCTTACATTTTTCAGCTTCCGTCATTTCGGCGTTCACGCGTCTGCACAAATCGACGACGT